ATATACACGTAGGGAAAAACGATATATTAGAAATAGGTAAGGAAACAAAACTGAAAACTGGTGCATTACAAGCAAGAAAATTTTAGTGAAATTTAGATTAAAGTACTGACTGCAAAGAAGCATCGAATAGTTAAGCTAATTAAGGATAAATTTGTAGAATATCATCAACTTTAAAAACTATTATCGACTTTTTCAATTTAGTTTTGTGCTTCTGGTTTTGGATGAGATCGCATGTAGTTGAACCAGTGTACTTTGAATCACAGCGAGTTTGATGAATTAGCTTGACCAGGAAGAGATTGGGACTGTCAGTAACATCCGTAGTTTATGACGACGAACCGCAAAATATAGTTGATGGTTGATAGCGTTAGGACATAGTTAATAGCGTTAGGACATAGTTAAGAGCGTTAGGACATAGTTGGTAGCGTTAGTCACTACCCATTTATCGAAATGTGTAAAAATGTTGAAGTGCATTTAAATAAATGCTTAAATAGAAGCGCAAATCAGATAAATTTTTGCATATTTTAACTGCACTATTTATTGAATAGAAATGCATTAACTTTCTCCACTTTACATATTTTTTATGCAAATTAAATTTCCATTTTTTCAGTACTTTCATGATTAACAACATGATTACTTATGCAAATAATTTTCATGACCCTAAAGTGGTACTTATTGTTCTTCTCATGGCATTAATTATGCAAAGTGCATTGGCCTAATATCAATGCGTTGAAGTTTTGGTATAAATAAGTTTTCTTGAGTGGCAGCGTAAGGATTTTTTGAATTCTTTGCGACGAGGAACTAGGGATGCTGTAGTGCTCTCGCACTCTTGAGCACTTACTGATCGTGTTTATATTCGGTGATACTAACGAGCACTGGGTTACGTCGTGACAAGAAAAGTAGTACGTAGAATTATGTACTGCTTTCCTACTATGGAATCGTTATAGATAACTCATGGCGTAGTTTCTGAAGCAGTCATTTGACTTCTGTGCATCACATTAACATACAAATCCATCGTATTTCTCGATAAAACTACAACACGTTGCAAACTAAATTTTTCCAAGCTAAAATCCGATTTTCTTTTGTGCATGTGCACCGAGATGCTGGAAGAACTGTGATTGTGATAAACAAAAAAATTAGCAAACTTATGGCTAAAATCATCTTCCTCATAACTAATGGTTAGAATTTGCAGTTGGATTGATAACAAAACTGAAAATGAAGAGAAACGGAATGCATGATGGAGAGAGATTGCAGAAATGAAGTCACTGATTTTGTCAAATCGCTTTCTATTGACTACTGTATTAGTCAACTAATGAGAAGATATATTAACGAATTAACCAGTGATATAATATTGCAATACTAATTTAACTTAACAATCAAAATATATGTCAGTAACTTGCAATAAAAGCATTATTAATTGTCCACGATAATGCAAAACATTTTCTGTGCAATTTGTGGATGTAAAAAAGGTCCAATATCTTCGGTATTTTTCATGACATCTCAGCACCAATTATATAATATTAATATATTCGCTACTAATAGGTAATAATATTCGCTACTCAGGTTTATTAGTTCATCTAGTAAATTCCAGCAGTCATATCTGATTTGATACCGTATTTCATCAATTTTGTTGGAGAATCTGTTCGGAATATAATCAGACGCAGTAATATGCAGCAACTGTTACGCTTTCAATTTGCAAATCTTTAGAAGCAAAAGAATGTAAAGCGTCTTAATACTGAAACCAATAATTCCTGGAAGATATTGATTGATGGTTTAAAGTGAATTATTTATTAAATGCGAGTGGTTGCTTACAAAAATTAGTTATAGGCAGTAATTATGGAATCATTTTTCGAGAACTAAAAATTAACTAAAATGGATAATTAAAGTGCTAAAAAAAGTAATGTTGCACTGTATTCGCCGATATTAACAATGTAAATTTAGAAAAGCAGTGCTATAAAATTTTAAGAAAATTAAAAAAATTTAAATAAATAATTGCGATTTTAATAAAATTATGCAAAATCTTTCACAATTAATGCAAATTCAAGCAAAAATTCAAAACACTATATAAGTTTGTTGCTTTCGGTTTATTATTCATTCCATCATGTTTCAAGAAAGCTCTTACCTCAACTTCGGTCATCAGCGAGGTACACCATACAATAGCGTGTACTTTCTCAACGTTGGGAACAACGCAACACCACCTCTTCCCAAAGAAGGAGAAACTGTAGCCAACCAAAATGTACACAGTATTTTGATATTTTGAATCATTCAGCAGTCAGAGGTGTACAAAAGCAATCAGTTAAAAAAGAATTCAATTAGATACAGGAATTGAAGATCTTTTCCTGAATGCAATTTCTGTAACAATTTTTCCAGGTTGAGACCACAGTTGATAAGCCTCTGACCGCCTCTGAACATCAGCAAAATATTGAAAATGAAGCGACAACTTTAGACGAAAAGGAAAGTGAAGCTTCGTCTGACTTGTGTCCCACGCAGAATGAAGCGGTCCTGATCAAAAAATCAGAAAATGCACTGCAGTGCCGTCATAAAATGGTTCACTTTGTAAGTGTTAATTATGGCGTTTTCATGAAACTTTAAGAAAAAACACTTGATTTGAATGCCAAGTTTTCTCTCTCGCAATATTTTTATTATTGACTAATTATCAATTTGAAACAAGATTATAATGGCGAAAAAATACATTTTTGGGTGAATAATAACTGTCAAATTTGATTTGCAAGCTACAATCATTTACAGGATCTTCAAGATGAAGAAGTGGAGGATAGTGGTGATTACTGTAAACACCCTCAAGTGGCGATGCAGTCAGTCTATGCGAAGGCAAATCTGAATAATGTGATTATCATTTTCAAATTCCGTTATTTTGGAATCTGTTAAGATCTCGAAAATGCCAAATGATTAATCAGTGAACAGAATGATAGAGATTAGCACGCGATAATGATGGAACTGAAACATTCGTCATATCATATCATATCAAAAATATTTTTTTTAAGTGTTACAATATGTTGGAGAATGACAAACCGATGAAGAACAAACAAGATGGGCGATTAAATAAAACACAGGTCATAGCAGTAATTTTATTATCAAAAAATGGACACTTTTTAAAACATTGAGTTGCACAAACCATAGTAGCAAATTTTTGATCTTCATTTATAATAAATTAATTCACTAAAACTTTTTGCAGGAGCAAAAACATGGCTTAAAAAATAGTGAGGTCGCAGCACAAGTAAGCTTATACATTTATTGCCTTGTTTTACAGAAAAGTTTAATATTGAGCTCATTTTATCCTTGTTCAAGGAATATAAATGAAAGCTATCACGTTACTGGTTTGAAAACCTCATTTTTTTTGTTGAAGTTATTAAAAAATTTATATTATTTGCTATCAGAAAAATTGTAACAAATGCAATTAAATTTTAGTCTGGTGTCAAACAAGAAGCTACAAAACGAAGTCAACCGGTAAAATATTTTTGATTTGTATAACTATTATGTCATAATTCTTAAGCATTGTTACCACTATTATCTTTACCATTTATCACAAATGATAACTGTGATAATATATTACTTTAGATAGAAAGCTATTACATCAGCCTTCCTAATATGCAAAAGTTCATCAATATGGAACCCAAAAAAGCGACGCACACTATTCGTCCACCAGTTGTTAGAAAATACGGTAAATGTGTGCTTATTTTAATCCTGCTTAAGTTTATCTAGCTAAAATCAAGTGATAACTCGAAGTTTTTAAAAGTATTTGACTAATATTTCATCATTTTTATTTCAAGTGATAAATAAGGACATAAAAACCAAGCCAAGATTTGACTTAAGTATGCTCTACTCAAAATCTTGTAATTACTTTTATAATAAAGTGCATTAAGTCTCGCTTTTTTAATTTGAATGGAAACATATCTTAATATATATACTTTTAGTCATGGAAGCTCCAAAGAAATGTTCACGAAAATCTTTGGTAGACGAATCGAAACAACGTTATGTTGAACATGATTTTTCGCCAATGGACTCATCGGACACAAATACAGCGCGAAACATCAGCTTTGTTGCTGTTCAATCTCAATATGTCTTCAATGTAAATTTATAATTAATTTTAGCTTGATTTTTTTATGACTCATGGTATGTTAATTTTGAGGCGGATAAGGCGAATTCTGAGAATTTGGATAATGAAGATGAGATGGTAATGCAGAGCGAGATTTCATGCAGTGGTAAAAAATCACACAATTGCAATGATGCCAAAGGTAAACAAAAAGAAGAATCAGAAGCCTCGCTTGCATCAGAACAATCTTCTTCTACTAAACCCTGTATTATTTCATGCTATAATGATAAGAAAATGCGCGACTGGAATATTTACTAATGTAAACACTAACGAAAATATTGTTAACACAGTCACTTGCCTCCAACTAACTTCTTAGTCTGTAATCCATTCTGGCTTTGTCTCTCCTCTCTCTTCTACTGCTCGCCCATATCTTCACATCAATTCTAACTTTCCTTCTTTTGCTTAGATTTAAAAATAAAAAAACTTTTGATCGCTCTTTGTATTAATTTTTAAAATAAAATAAAGCATTTTTTTTCTCTCGTTTTGAATGGTGTTGCAACTGCATTTACGAGTTTATTTATTACATTATTTTATTCTTACACACTAAATTTTCAATTAAAGCATCGCACCCCAAATGATAAATTTTCAGTTTCTTTAAAAATATGAAAAGCTAAAAGTGAAAAATTAAGTATTGAAAAAAAAAATGACTTATCCAAGTTCAAAAATTCATGTTTTACGTAAATAACTTTTTGGAAATTGTTTTGGATGAAATTAAGCAGATCAAAATTACTCGAAGTTAGATCATATTTTTATAACACTCAACAGCATGGTCAGAACCAATTGTTTTTTGTAAAAGGAAATCACATAGATTAGTAAAACATAAACAGAGCAAATATCAATTGAAATTCATATAAATTCTAATCCTTTTTTTTTAACTTTCAATTTGGAAGCATATTTCTTTATTGTAAAGAGAACCAGTTTTTTTTCGGACTATAATACAATTGCAACTATTACTTGTTATGATTTACAACACACATTCAAACATTGGTACTCTTTTTGGTATTTGAATATCTCGTGCAGAATGAATGTAGTAATGGACAAAGCGATGGATATATGTCGAAATGAAAATATAATTAAAATTTTAAATTCACATAAATTTGCAATACTCTTTGTGCTTTACTTTTGAATCACTTAGTATTGTTGCTAGCAAAAAGTTTTCAAAAACTGATCCTTTAATTTTTTTTCTCCTCGTGTCTTTTTGAATCTTCTGCTTTATCTTTTTAAATAAAAGTTTTTAATTATTATATTTTTTTCAAAATTTCTGCTTATTTGCTTTATTGTTATTAGATGTATTATTAACAATAATAGTTATCATTGTTAACATTATCATCACTAATTAACCTATTAATTCTGTGTTTACTATTATTATTATTATTATTATTATTATTATTATTATCATTATTATTATTAATTACATTATCATTATTAATTATTATCATTATCATTACTGAGATGTTTGGAAAGCTAAAAATTACCAATAGATATGTGAAAATTTTAATTGTCATGTGAGTTTTCTGGACTCTTCAGTAGTTTTTGTATTCCATACAGCACTTGAAATAATATGGCCTTAAGTACTCGTAGGTAGTAGTGCTGGTCACAGAATTTTTAATATTTATATAAATTTACATTCTTAAATTTTACTATTTTTCCTTTTCTATCATTTTTTCGCACAGTTCTTTTCCGATGGCAAAAACAGTATTCATTCTTTAAACATGTCGATTTTCTTGTTACACACAGTACCTTTTTTGTTATAAAAAATTTTAAGATTCTCGCATTTTTCATTTTTTTTCTTGTTTATGATAGTATAATATACTGCGAAAAATGTTCATAACCGTACAAATTTAATGCTTGAAATTAAAATGACAAATTCGCTTATAAAATTTAGTCTAAAAAATTGTTAATAATTTAAACTAAATTTAAAATGTGAAAAGTTCCATTGCAAACTTCAAGTGATAAAATTATTTCTAATTTCTGAAGTTGGTTTCAAAGCAACTCGGTAATAGTTAATTTTTTCATTCACCTTCTTTGCTATTAAATAATTTGTTAATTCAATATTTTTGCCTAATTTAAAATGATTTTATAAAAATAAATGAATAGCATTGTTTGTTTAATTTTTTAAATGAAAAAAACAATCAAAAAATTTATTTTATTGCTGTAAGAAATTACGCTAATTCTCCTTTCATTCAAAGTCAATCTTCTGTTGTCATCAACTTCTGAAGGCAAGGGCAAGGAAGCTTAAATGAAGTAAATTAAGTGCGTTACTTGCAAATTACTCGCTGACTGACAAACAAAAGTTTGTTTGCTTTTCGCTCATCTTTTTAACATACAAAGATTTTGCCCTTATACTCGTACCTCGCTCACATCATATTTATTCTGAAATGGTAAGTATGTCTGGTCAGTACTGAGGAACGATAAGTTGATAGCAATTGGTAGAATTTCTTTTCATATTAACATAATGAATTGTTTCAGATATTATTTTTTGTAATTCATTTCATTTATCATTCAGAAGTTTAATTTGAGTACTTTGTAATTACTTTATGCATTTCTTTGACTAAATTCTTAAAATTACTACTGCTTATAATTTGTTCACAATTTTATTTTAATTTTTTTGCAAAATTTTTAAACGATAGAATTTAAAATTACTACTTGCATTGATTTTGATAACATTTTATCTGATTTCAATTTTACAGTTTGAATCTAAACTTTATAAATCAAGCAGGTTTATAACATAGCTTTAGACAAATAAAATATTACTTCAATAATTTTAAATTTGTTTTAGCAGTAAATATAATTTTTTGGTAAGTGAACAATATCCAAGCACAACAGTGTTAATGTGTGAAAGAAACTTCTTCTCATACTTAACCAATAAGCAAATTGATAAAGTATGACAAGAGTTAAGGTTTTTCCAAATTATAAATAAATTCAACTTACTTTTGAAAAACTTGCTTTTTGCGCATCATTTCGACCTGTTTTTCTATAACAATTTATTGATTTCTCAATTTATAATCAATCTTTTTGCCAAAAGTTATTGATAAATTGCACTTTTACCGATAGTTGCATTTTAAATCTGAAATTTGGAAAATTTAATATTATTATAAAATTAATGTTTTTAAAACGTATGTCCATCCTTTGTTTAATTGAAGTGAAGTTAAAAAATGTACTTAAAATAAGATCTCCTATGCAATTTTGCACTATTATTATTAAATAAAGTTAATGTACACAGTCCAAGTAAGCAAGTTTTATCACAAATGTGTCAGTCAACACTTGCTGACTTTGTAAATGAACATATTTCCATAGAATAGATCAAAAAATAGCTGAAATTAAGTGGTGTAATTACTTTTATTGGAGATTTACTGTTTTTTATCTGCGAAAAACCACTTTCTTTACTTTAATCAAAAATTTGCGCTGATACCGACCACACTCTTGATTGTATTGCAGTATTTTGGTTTTCATTGTTATGCTGACATCTTGCGCTGCGATTTTCATTTTCTTCATTGATAAATGTGAAAAAAGGTTTTTTCGCAGAGTTTAATAATTTTCACCATTTTCAACATTATTGCATTATTCTTGGTACTTTTATGCTATATCATTTGACATTTGTAGCATTGAAACACTTTCGAAGTACAATCATTCTTACTTTACTGTAAAAATTTCGATTTTTTTCTTCGTTTATTTAAAAAATTATGTTCGTCTACAAAGTGTTTTGCTATTCACAACTTACTCTATACATTTATATAAAAATGAAATAATTTGGGGTGCGAATTCAATTCAATTTCAGTATATATTTTTTTAATAAAAATAAAGCTTTATTTTTTATCAGTACTAATTTTTGTATATTGATCTTTTTAATTTTTAAAATTTTGAGAAATATTTTTTTTGTAACGTTTCGTCAAAAGTTGTAATAAAATTTGTTCTTTCATGTGCGTAGACATTTTGTGATTTTTCACTAATTTAATTTTACGGAAAAAATTATGATTATATACATGTAGCAAATCAGTGTAAGTACATTTAAGAAATCAGTATAAAATGAACTTCTAATGTTGTATTAACAAACTTGTAATAATGTGTTAACAAAATTTTCGAGATGTCATAAAAAGCTGAAATAATTTCTTCATTTCATCTTTGCACTAAATTAGCAAAATGTCATCAACATTTTTTGATAATTATATAGTATTAATTAGTCTTATTAGTCTTATTATTAATAAGACTAATTTGATTTAGAATTATATTAATTTCAGAGACTGTATATTGGTACTGATATTGTTACTTGTGATCATTTTTACGTTTACTTTTCTTAGCTGGTGATTAATGGATTGACTGACTGATAGATTAGTAAATAACTGGAAATGCAGTGAATAGAAAAGAATAAAGAAGATGAAAAGAATGGAAAGGGTTAATGACTACCAATGAATAAGTGATATGATCTGTAATGAGAAATTGATAGTGTGAATGATAAAGAGTTAGTTTTGAATGGGTGACATTTAATAACACTTAGGTAAATTATTACTTTTGCAGTTATCTGTACTCTTAGTAAATAAACACTGCACATAAAACTACCTTTTAAATTTAATTTCGATACTAAGATGTGCCAAATAGCTAGTACATTCATAGTCTATAATATGTTTATTGTTCATACAAAATTTTGAGTAGTTGTATTGGCTTTGAGCAATATAAAAGCAAATATTTCAGTAAGCAATTACAAAACTTTTATCCTAATTAAAGATTTATTAAAATTTTTACTAATCAGTTTAATTGTATAATATTAGTCATTGGAAGATGATTAATTATTAAACTTTTAAATCATTTTCATTAATAACTTAAATTAGTTTGTCTTCAAACTTTCATTGTTATGAATGATAGAATAATGTTAACTGTGCTATAAATCTACGAAAAAGCACTTAAGAGTTCATAAATATTCAGGTAAATTTTGTTAAATCTTATGCATGAAATGTGTGCAAATAACTAATATTTTTATAATATTGATGTTGAATTTACCTAAATTCAAGTTATGTTTGACCGATATTAAAGTGCTGATGATTGATTAGAGAAAGGAAAGAAGTGAATACAACTAATTATGATGCTGATAGTTGTGAATTGTTTTGTTATCAGAATTTTTGAAAATGGTACGATTACTTTGCACTCACTTAAAACTCAATGCTCAAAAAAACAGATTGCTCATAAATTTAAGCTATCATTATTAAGTTTCAAAGTTCTTACTAAGAATAAGAATCTTAATAGACTTTAATACTTTATTCTCA